TGAACAGAATTAGTTCTTGAGGTGATTCATTCAGAGTTACACGCTTGTGCATGATAACTATAAAAATCCATCATCAGTGGAGCTCCGATATTACGATTCACCATGGCAACGGGTAAATAAAATGCCGAGCTGTCATTTTAATCCAGAGGCACAAATAATTAATGTACAATTTTTTACAACACACACACAACGGCATCAGATGAGATCAATGTGTTAACATCATTACATTTTATTCATTGTAGTCCACTCATTCATTCATTTAGGAAAAATTACTCACTTTAATTTAACATGAATAAATGAGAGGTCTCTTCCAGGATGACGGTGCCCCATTCATGGGGCAGGATTTATAGGACTCTACAAATAAATACATCAAATTTTAAGCAGTACAACCATATTTCTTTATGTTGTATTCTTAGGAGAAACCTTGGGGAACAGAGTGTCAGAAAAGATCTGAGCCTCTGCTGGTGGAGCAGTTGCTCTGCCCTGCCACATTTCTCATAGCAGTGACATTCCAACAGTGGAATGGTCCAAGAAAGGTCAGGATCCAAACATCACCTTCCTGTACCGACAGGGGTGTGAGACCTTCGGGATGAAGAATCTAGTCTTCCAGTTGAGGACAAACCTCATCATGAATAAAGTGAAAAATGGGGACATCTCTCTGCATATGTCCAATGTGCAGCTGTCTAATGCAGGAATATTCCAGTGCAGGGTATTTTGGGAGAGGAACGCTGAGGTCCTTAAAACACTGGAGCTTGTTGTTGGTATGATTAGTAAAAAAAACAAAAAACAAAAACAAAACCGTGCAGTTGCATTATAGTCTACAAACACTGCTAATTTCCATATTATGGAGAAGGGACATTATATCTTGCTCTTATTGTGCTTTGGCAGTTTCTGAAAACCTTGGCTTTTTGTGCAGTGTTGCCAACTCCTCAGTAAAGAAAGTAGCTATTGGTTGTCCTAAAAGTCGCTAGAAGTCGCTAAATGACGCCATCGCCTAATTCGCATAAAATTCCATTTGCATGTAATTGTAATGGACGCTGTAGGAGAGAGGAATAACGTAATGGGAGACACAAAAGTGAGTAAAAACACCCTAAATATGTTTAGTACTACAAATGAACTTTCTTCTGTTGATTCTTGGTTTGCTTGTTTTATATTTAGCCATTTAAATAGGCCATCACTTCTCAAAAATAACTTCATGACTTTAATGCTTTGTCTAGACCGACATTGCATAAATCAATTTTGTCCTGTATTGGTAAATATTAGAATATATCAAATTTAATCAATTCATCCTCCTCTTTTATCCGGGCTCAGTGGCGGCCGTGTGCAGGGGCCGCTCCTTTGCCATCGGGGCGGTGTGTGGGTCTCCTCTCTGCTCTGACTGCACCTGGAACTGCTGCGCCAGGCTACTGCGAGAGTTTTGGGACGAGGGAGGAGCTCACGGCAGCACCCGCTGCTCGTTGGGGACAGTAAATGCAGAGTGATCAGAAAAAGTCACCAAGTTGGCAGCACGTATGCATGACACAGTAGAGCTCAGATGATTTACTTGAGCAAATACAGTATTAAGATTAAGCATAAAATTTTAGTTATAATTAGATGACAGTAAAAAATTCACAGGTAGAGGCTGAGAGGAGGAATTGAGAAAGCAATTAATCCGAGTTATTTAGAAGCCGGAAGTCTTAATGCACACAAAAAAGACAATGATTTTATTTTGACTGGTTTCTGACAACGGTTTAACATATTAAACAAAGGATATTTCTCAAAGGTCTTTATATTCAGCATATGCTTCCATCTGATAATCATGATGATACTATTTGTCCAGAACACACCAGATTGCATTTCACTGCATGTGTAAATGGTGACGAGTGATGTGAGATGTAAATCCGGATGTTGACTGTCGTCAGGGGGTTGGAGCTGGTAACGTCAAACTTAAACTACATTGCGGGCTGGCAGCGGTTGTCCCTTAAGCCAGGTAAGTAATTATGCTTTCATCACATTGATAGCTGTATCATAACAGTCGCGACCAGAAATAATGTTATGTACATTTAGTCCATTAATGGGCACGTTGCTGGCATGACCTTTAATCTGTTGTTTCAGTGCCCAGAATGGCGACGCCAGCTAACGAGCTAATGACAGCTAGCAAACAGGCGTTGGTTTAGCGTCAGCTGATCAAACACATTTAGCTTAGCTGTCTCCCAGGTTGTCTATAGACACTTGCTGCCAGTCGTTCCCAAACCTGTCATGAGATCTAGGCAGGGGGGGGAGTCCTCGTCAACCTGCTAGCTAGCTAGCGTTAGCAACGCTAACATCAGTCTGCCGTGTCAATTAAGGTAACGAAAATAATGTGGGATACTCGCATTATGCATCCCGGTTTAAATTAACATCAATATTGGCCTCCAATGTCTTCAATTACGCATCTACGTTATTCATGTTTAGCTTGTTGTGCAAGTAGGTTTGAGCTGGATTATTTGGGAGAAGGATTATAAATCACCAGCTAACGTTAGCTAGCTAGTTTAGCTGAGAAGCGCATAGTCATTTAATGTAAGAGCAGTGCTTCCAAGTAAGCTTTAATATCCGACCAGGCACAGGAAGCCTTTGTTGCGATAATGTTTCACTTTTCAGAGGTCACTCCGCTGTGTTTTATATGTCTGAGCTCTGGGGACCCCCCGACCCCCACAAAACTGAGGAAAACACGAGGAATTTGACTTTAATTTGAGCTGCTTTCTAAAGTAATAATAATAATCTTGAGGATCACACATTGACATGAACTCTTTCAGTTGTGTAATCAACACTATCTGTAGTCATATTAATGGTTTAGATTTTGCTCATGTTAGATTGAGGCACAGTCACCAGGTGTAACTTTAGTTTCACACACTGGTGAAATTTGTTCTTGTTAACCAGGTCTTGGATGTGCTGTCAGCTGCACATGTCACACATTATGCACAGAAATTATGGTGAGTGAGTGTCTTTGCCTTCCTTTTTATTTACCAGATGGAAACTTTCACACCTTAATTCGTTTGCTTTGGTCCGAATCAGTTGACGTCTCCTTGGTTCGGTTTCGTTTCACACACAGAAAAATCCAAGCGTCACGTAAAACTACGCGAGAACGTTCTCTCCGCTTATTGGTCAGATGTGTCTGCCGCGAGAACAGAAAAAGTAAATACAGTTTTTCTCTATCGCTTTCATTCATTTCTCACAACAGAATTGAAGTTTGCAGATCTCCAAGTGCATTTCTCAAAACAACACGTACAAACTGCACAACATAGTGGATAACCGGAAAAAGCGCGTCACCTGCTCAAAATGCTTTGTCTATCGTGCAAAAGTGTGTTTATTCATCAATCATTGTGTCAGAGGCAGCAGAATCCCATGTCATTTCCTCAACAATGCGAACGTGACAGGCAAAATTATTAGTCATGTTGTCAGTAGAACATCATACTCAGTTTTTGTTATTTACTGTAAACTATACTCAACTCAGGTTTTGATGACTAGAAACCACTAAATTACCGTACTGGTGTGTGTCATAATTTA